ATAATTTAACATATCTACAAATCGACAACTGATAAATCAAATCACCCATTAATATCCGAGTGAAAAGTCTGTCGAGTTGTCCTAAACGTCGTCTTTGAAAAGGTAAGAGACAACCTAGTCCAGTGAACCATGTTGTACTACATTCCTATTATTTCTCCGTTTTAAAATAAGTCTGTGTTTTTAATTTAGGCACACTCCATAAGATAACTATTTATTTTTAGAAAGTAAAATTTACTTATCCTTAATAAAATGTTGAAAAATTATTTGGGTAAAGATAAAATTGAAAAAATATCATTAATATCTACTTAATTATATGAAAAATCACTTATTTTAAAACAAAATAAAAAGATAAAAGCACAGCTTATAATTTGAAAAATGAGGGAACACAAATTTTCCGTATTACACATAATAAATGTTTCCGATAAGGTTGTTGTGGGTTTGGCCAACTTAATTTCTATACTTTTCGGTCTTTACTTTGTCTATTTATTTTTATTTGTCCATTAATTTTAAATAGGAAAAATTCTTTTGGCCACAATGGTAAAATAACATATTTCACACAATGTTATTTTAACTGTTTGAACATTTTTATCCTTTTAACTTTAATACCTTTTAATTACAAAATGGAAAAAAGATCAGTTTATTTTCAAATAAAGAGGATATTATAGACTTTTTAAATTTCTGGTCAAATTCTGGCCAAATTTTCTGGCGATTTAGCCAAATTTCTCAAGAATTGATAAATGAAGTGCATATTTTATTGTCTATGCATATTATAGTCTTTAATCTTACTTCATTTGTCTTAATTTCTGTACTTTTCGATCTTTACTTTCTCTATTGTTTTTTACTCGGTCTTAATAAATTTTACATAATTCTCAAGAATTAATAAATGAAGTGCATATTTTATTATATATCCATATTATAGTCTTTAATCTTACTTCATTTGTCTTAAATTATTTATCATTCTTTTACTTTATACATCTCTTAATAAATACTAAATTAATTATAGTAAGAGATTTTTTAAAACCATTTTAACCTTGTTGCTATTTTAATTTTTTAAATTAAACAAGTAAAATTAAGATCAAGTTTCTATCATATTCTATCTGATTAATAAAAAGGCCCCGACTTATTTTTAGAATTTGAGTTCTCCCGCAACTTCTCTTCTTTTTTGGTTTTTGGAGTGAGGGGAGGTAAATTCCTTGTCAATTGTCATCTATTGATCTCAATCTTTTTTTTTATTTGTTTTGAATAATATCAAACTTAATCTAGCCTTTGTAAATCACAATAAAGCAAATACCTAACTATGGATAAATTTCCTTAAAGGTGAGTTAGGTTAATCACGGATATTTGTTTTGTAGCTATAATAGGCAAGAGCAAAAAGGGAATCGAAAATTTAAAAGCCAGCAAAGTGAGATTGACTTGAAATGGGAAATATAAATGAGCCCATGTTACGTTTTAAGTGTAAGTAGTTGGTAGTGTTGTAACTTGTACTACAACTGGAGGAAAAATTAATACTTCTGGATTAAAGATTTTAAACTCAATAGGTGCATGCATAAATTATAAAAATATAACAAATGTCTTTTAAATCTAATGATTTTAAATATATCATGTTAAAATTAAAGAATTACAAATTATATATAGAATAATAATCTTTTAAGACAGACGAAAAAGTAAAGTAAGCCACGTAATTAATTAACGGTTGAGTATAGTTTTATCTTATCTTAGGCCAAGCATGCGTTTTTTCATGTGATATGAAGCATGCGTTTATCTTGTGATATCACGTTTATTATTCCTCCTCCTATATAATGAGTAAGTACCTACACATTACATACTTCAACTTTAGCTCATCCACTAGGACTTAAAGGATATACTATCCGAAAGTTTCAATGGCAACTTGGTTTTTAAGAAGTTCGAATAATCATGGTGTCATACAGAAGCTAATGATGACTTTTTCTGGCAAGTATACCACCACCGTCGTACGGAGATGTTTCGGGTCGATGGGAGCTGGACAAAAACTGGATCCATACAGTTGTGACGATGATTATCGTGAAAATATTGGTCACCAAAATCAGGCATGTTTGAACTCTCTCTTCTTTCTTTTTTTTTCTTCGTTGCATCGTAATTTTATAATTACTATAGTCAATTTCTCGAATGGTCACTGAACTTATAGAAATATTCCATTAAAGTAACTTTTCAATTATGCAGATATTTTCAATAAGGTGAAAACTAATGAAAAAAATTGAACTTTTTAACGGAAGTTTGTACATATATCTTTTTAGAATGCATTTTTAGACCGAATACCTATTATACAAAATTCATTTAACCCATTTTAAATTGGTCTTTAATAAAGTAAATTATATTCATATAATAACTAAAGCAAAAAAGTAAGTGCAATTTGTATATACGACTTGATCAATATCATGCATCGACTGTTTTATAGTTTAATTTGGTTATTTCAGTTAAAAATGCAAAAAAAGATTGTGAAGTTGTGCTCAGTTATATTGCTTCTTTTTTTTTTCTTCATATTATTTATCTATCTTACTAAAAAATATATGTTCTAAATTATTTATTAATTTACTAAATCAAAATACAGTTAATTTATTTTTTCTCATTTTGCCTTTAAACTAACTTTTTGAAAGTATAAATATTGTAAAATTCTAAAAAAAGTTCCTCTATATTTGATCTTGGTATTGATGAATAAGACACAAAAATATGGAGGATATTAAAAACTGTTAAAGAGTACATGTAAAGGAGAAAACAAATAAATAATATAAAACGAAAAAAATATATCATATAAATTAAAACGAAGAAACAATTAATTACTTAAAAAATTTCATCTATTTCAATTTGCATGATACTCTTCTATCTCAAACTATGTCTGTTTGTTTTAAGGGAAAATACAGAGACATTGTTCGAACCATTAATAATTTACATACACTTTTTACTTTAAGATTGACGTAAAAATATCATACTATTTTTGTTTGAAGTGATTCGATGACATGCCAAAGATTGTGTTTCTACCTTTCGAAAGCAAGTCAGAAGGGATAAAAAAGAAAAAAAGGAACCAAACAGTACATGCAAAATGAATGATATACTTAATTACTCCCTCCATTTGATTTTTATTATTTCTTTTAACTATCGAAATAATAATTAATATGAATATTTTAGTATGATACTTATATTAATTGATATATTTTAGATATGATTTGATGAATAAATAATTAATATTGAAACTTTTTTTTTATTGATAAGTTAAAAGTGAAAATTTATATTTGAAATAGTGGGAGAAAAAGGTGAACAAAGAAAATATATTTTTATTTTATTCCTTCCGTCCATTTTGTGTGACACATTTTTCTTCTTAATTCGTTAAAAAAATTGCCACTTTACTATAGTTAAATATAATTTTTTTATTTATTTATATTTAATGAAATGATTCAGAGTCAAATTGTGAAATGGCTTCGGAGAAAGTTAGTATTAATGAGGCACCCAACGCCTCCATAACTAGCCGCTACATTTATTCATTTACACGTCATAACAAAGAACGACCAACTTAATTAAAGCAGCCACAAAATCCCCCACCCCTTCAAAACAGAACAATCACATTAATTACTCCCACTTACCTAATTTTTACAAATTTAATTTAATTTTTTTAATAACAAATTTTATTATATACAGGAAAATATGAATTAAAATGTATTAGAAAATCTTAATTTCTTCTATTCAAATGATAAATCATTCAACACGAAGAGATTTGCTCAAATGACAAACGTTTTTTTCACCTCCAACCTTAAGAATTGAGAGTCGTAAAATAGGTTCGGCCCTTAAGCCACCGTACCCTAGCCCACAATTAAGGTAAGGAAAAATTGTGTATAATAGCAAACTATTAATTCAAATTAAATGTTATAACCATAGTTTGATTTAATTGTACCCCATAGCAAACTGTTGTTATTTCGCCTCTCTCCTGGTGAATCTCGCTCGCCACTCTCGTTCTCGCTAGGCAGTCTCCCTCGCCTCTCTCGCTTTTATACAAACACAAATGTATAAAATGCGTTTGTATTTGTATAAAGCGAGAGAAAATTTTATATATACATATATTTTCGTTCCCCTCTCCCAGATCTCACTCGCCTCTCTCACTTTATACAAACACAAATGTATACATTGCGTTTGTGTTTGTATAAAGAGAGAGAAAATTGTATATACAAATGCATATATTTTCGTCCTATACACTTATGATTATACAAATACGATCTTCCCCTACCCAGTTTTCTTTTGTCTTTCTCGTTTTATACAAACACATATTATACAATTGATATTTTGTATATGTATATCGAAACAGATTATACAATTGCTTTCTTTTGTATATGTATAACGAAATATACATATTTATGTTTGCTGTGGAGCGCAATTATGCAAACTATAGCTATAACAAACAAATATGATTTTTATGTTTGTTATATGTGTAAGTTGCTCTAAAGGTAAATAGTTTTAAAAAATAATTTAAGCCCAAACTAAGGCTTATAAGTCCAACCCAAATCATCTTGTTGGTTCTTGAGGCTCGACAGAGGCTGAACCAAGGTCAGACCATGGATAAAAAATTATTTAATCTAAATTTAAATTTTTTAAAAAGATTACTAAAAGATAAGTAAAAATATAGAAGTAGTGATTATCGAATAAGAACTAATATCGTACATAATGTTTTACTCATTTAGCATTAATCCTAATTACCAAGTATATAAATTGCATTCATGAAAACAATTTCATTTAAACATTCTGATCATGGAAAAATACATTGATATAGATTGAATTATTGTGGACCTTGGTCCATCTTTAAATTTTAAAAAATAAAATAAATATTGGTAAAATATTAACGATATAAATAAGGTTAAATTAATCAAATGACTCTTTTTATTACTAATATTTTCTTAAAACACTTGTAAAGACACTTAAAAAAGATACTTAGGGAGATGATTTATATAAGGTTAAAGTCTTGATCTATAGAGTATAATTTAGTTGTATATGATATTTATTGAACATGAATGCAGGATTTGGATTTTCCAGGTGGAAAAATTCCATTAACATCACAAATGAAGTTTATTTCAGAAGCATCCGATAAGAGATTACCATGTTATCGAGTTCTACATGACGATGGATCTCTAATTTCTAATACCATACATGACAAGGTACGTACGTATGTACGTACCACAATTGAATCTTTAATCTTACTACACTAAAGTACTTTTATCTTTCAATTGTGGTATATATGTGTTTCAAATTCAAATTTCCCGCGTTTCATTTTATTTGACACTATTTTATTAAATTAGTTAGGGGAAGAAGTAGCTGTGAACATGTATAGTGCCATGGTTACTTTGAAGACAATGGACACTTTCCTTTATGAAGCACAAAGGCAAGGGAGGATTTCTTTCTATATGACCACTTTTGGTGAAGAAGCTATCAACATTGCTTCTGCAGCTGCTCTATCTCCACATGACTTTGTATTACCTCAAGTAAACGACGATCGACCTCATTAATTATGTGTATTGTTTAATTTTATACTGTCAGTACATAAAACTTAAAACTTATATTGCAGTATCGAGAAGCAGGGGTGTTACTATGGCGTGGCTTCACCGTGCAAGAATGCACAAATCAATGTTTTGGGAATAAGGATGATAAAGGAAAAGGCAGGCAAATGCCAGTACATTATGGTTCTAATAAACATAATGTTATTACCATATCTTCACCTTTGGCGTAAGATATTATATTCTGAGTAGAAATCGCGATAATAATGTGCTAGCTACTACTTATAATTACTCTGTTTATCCCCTGTACATTCAGCACTCAGATATCTCAGGCTGCTGGTGTGGCTTATTCTTTGAAAATGGATAAAAGAGGTGCTTGTGCTGTTGCTTATACAGGGGAGGGTGCAACTAGTGAGGTAATTAATAAATGATCACTTTGAAATAATTAACATTCTAATTTCACCAACTACTGTTCGAAAAAGGTAATTCTGGTGATAAGAAACAATGCAGGGAGATTTTCATGCTGGATTGAACTTTGCAGCTGTTATGGAAGCTCCTGTTATCTTCATATGCCGGAATAATGGATGGGCCATAAGCACCCCTGTACATGAACAGTTTCGAAGTAAATTATTCACTTCTTCTTTTTTCTTGATTTTATATGACAATATTTGAGTAGACAGGAGTTTTAAGCAAGAAAGGAAGACTTGTGACACATGATGTGATTAATCTATATTGAGTCCTCCTCCGCGCTTTGTTTGTTGTGGCAGGTGATGGCATTGTGGCAAAGGGGCTAGGTTATGGAATAAGAAGTATTCGCGTAGATGGGAATGATGTTATTGCAGTTTATAATGCTGTTCGTGCAGCTCGTAATATGGCAATTAGTGAGGAAAGACCAATACTAGTTGAGGTGAAACTTTATTGACATTTGAATGCATAGGTAACAAATTTGTACTTGTGTCCTTATTTTGGTGAAAATGTCAGGCAATGACGTATCGAGTAGGACACCATTCGACGTCTGATGATTCCACAAAGTATCGGCCAACAAATGAAATAGAATACTGGAAAACAGCCAGAAGCCCCATTGCCATATTCAGAAAATATATTCAGAGAAATGGTTGGTGGAGTGACGATCAAGAATATGAACTCTACAGAGATGTCAAGAAACAGGTATGGATGACAAAATTAGCCCATGAAATTATGACCTGCCTAATCCAATCCGCTCATTTATTAGCTCGAATTAACCAAACTTTTGTCAAAATATATTAACAAGGTTTTATTAAGTTGTTTCAGTTTAAGTAACTTTTGAACCTGTCCATTTGACACCCCTGAGGATATATGCGGCAGGTCTTAGAGGCAATTAAAACAGCAGAAGGAATGGAGAAGCCTGCATTGACAGAATTGTTTAGTGATGTGTATGAACAAATGCCACCTAATCTCCATGAACAAGAGAGGTCTATTAGAGATGCAATCAACAAATATCCTAAAGACTACCCTACTAGTGATTTTCATGTATAGCTTAGTATGCAAATGATGTAGTATCGTTTTCTGAGAATTTAAAGTGATGCATGTTACTTTAGCATATAATTCTACTCGGCAACATATATAATAACTTCAAGAACGAGATGTAATAAATTGAGTAATTGCTGAAAAGAAAACATACTAAAAAGGGTAAGCAAAAAGTCTATAATGAAAAAATATCACTTATTTTGAAACGAAAGAAATATCTTCCGTCTCTCAGTATGAATCTTCATCTCTCTTTCCAACTGTTGAAGTTGCAAGTACTGTTTCTTTTCCAGTTGAATCAGGAGCTTCTCTTTCAGAACCTCATAGCGCATTGCAATTACTGTGGCTTTCTGCTCACCTATCTTCTGTCTCTCGGAACGGGCACGAATCATCTGCCCATATTCCTCCAGAGCATTTCTCAAATTATCAACAGTACACAATGCTCCTCCCTCTCCCAGCCGTCTTGTTGGTGGTGCCATCATTCTCTAGCCTCTTCTCAAATATTTCTCCTTTTTTATTATTTTCGCACTATATTCTTTTCTTTTTATTGACTTTCCTATAATATTAATAACGAAATAACTTTTTTTTAAAAAGAATATTGCTAGTATAATATTAATTAAGTTGCTTTCTAGTGTTACAGTTTGGGGGGAGGGGAGTGACACAAATATTTCAATCTAGATTGGTGCAATTCTTTATACAAATAATTAAAACTCTGAAAATGGCATGAAATCAATTTTGTTGGAGGTAATACCAAAAGATGAGGAACAAGAAATAAAACAATTGGGGTAAGAGTTTTGTCTTCATTATTGGTTCAATGAGGATAGTTGCTCAATTATTGATGTTGTTTTTTTTGGTTTTTCACCTGGTGTCCGGAGCTCACTAAATTCGGATCGCAAAGACCTCTTGTTAACTCCCACCATTGCACCACAACCCATGTTGGTTCAACCAATTATTGATGTTGTTGCTACTTCATTTTGATTATGGAGGATGAATGTGGGATCAACTTAAGCCATGATTTGGTAGTAGATATGTTGGAGAGGTTCAAGCATGCTAGAAAACCATGCTATTGATGCTTTATTTGGACACGTGTATTTGACTACTTTTTTGAATTAATGCAATATTTGATATTGCAACCATGCTAATTGACTACATGTTCAAGATTTGTACGAAAGAGAGGTAATAAATTGAGTAATTGGTACAAACAAAACATACTAAAAAAGGGGTAAGCAAAAAGTGTAGCACTCTTGAATAATTCTATTGAACTAGACAGATACTAAGATCACATCAATTAACTTGTGTTGAAACAAGAAGAAAAGAAAAGAAAGAAAGAAAGAAAAAGAATAAAAAAGAATAAAGAGATGTCTACAATCTGTTTGAGTGCAGCAGCCTCTTTAGCCTCCTTACGTATCTTCCGTCTCTTAGTTCTCTCCCGTAGTTCCTCCAAAATCTTCCTCTCTCTCTCCAACTCTTTTATCTCCTCCTTCATCACCAACATCTCTTTCATAAGCTTATTGCGCATTGCAATTAGTGGGGCTATCTTCCTTCTCTTACAACCATCTTTCTCCATAAGAATGTTCATCATTAACTCCAACTGTTCAAGTTCCAATCTTCTCTGTTCCTCTACAGTAACATCATCAACGAATACATCATCTCCCTCTACAGTAACATCATCATCATCATCAAATACTCCTCCATCTCCATGTTCTGCCATTATTCTCTATAACAATATTCCTTCCCTCCATATCTATTTATACTAAAATCAACAAACAAACCTAATCCTAAACCTACACTAACTCTTCAATTACTTCATTTTTCTTTTCCATTTATTTTACAAGTCTAGTAAAACAAAACTACTCAATTTTAAATTTTCTTTAACCTACTACTTATTTTTTTGTATGGTTTTTTACCCTTTTTTGTGTAAGAATTTAATTATAATAAGGACATCTTCTTCATTTAATTTTTATTATGTTTATTATAGTAAATATTTAATATTATTAAAATAATACAGTAGTATAATAACTTTGGCCACACTTCACACAGTTATGAAAAATTTATGATTTTAAAAAATTAATCATGATACAAGAAATAAAAGAACCAACTATAGAAATAAGAAAATGATAAAATCGCAATACAAATATTTTTTTATGTTAATACATATGATTTGAATAAACATATTTAAGGACTTGATTTTTTTTCTTCTTGTTTTTATTAAATGATAAACTTATTGTTTAATTGTATTTCTTTTACCAATATTTCCATCTACCACTTGAACCACCATAAATCAGTTTTTCCCATTGATGTTAACGAATCATAATCATATATATATATATAACCTCAAAGTTGGATTATCATTTTACCCTTATCTTACCCCTACAATAAATTAAATATTAATATTCATTTAATTAATTAAAAATTAAGTAATAATTATATTTAAATTCATGCATCAAAGAAGATCTTAATGCAATCATATATTCATGTACTAAATGTGGGTAATGAAGAGTCAAACAAGATTTAATACAATCATATATTCATGTACTAAATATGAGTAATGAAGAGTGTAATTTGTAAGATAAGTGGGGGTAATGAAGAGTCTATGTCCAAAGACGCTCACACAACATTATTTATATTCCTTTCTTTCATCCAAATTTGTGATCATCTTGTTATTCTTGCATTCTACATTAGGTTAGTCTACATCATTTGTAAAATTTTCATTACCAATTTGTAATTGTAAGAATTCTTACTGATTCATTTATTTGTATTCTTTAAAATTTCATGCATATCCATCTTCTTTTTGTTGAGAAATATGTAAATTATCATAGTTACAAGATGAATATTCTGCAATATGAAGTTGTAAGTGAATTTTTATTTTTCATATCTCCATCTTTTGGAGTTTTTAAATATAACTTCGTAATTAATTACTATATTTTTGTATTCTTCATTTCTTCTATCTTTAGGATATAAATATAATAAAGTTAATCCTAATTTATATTTATAATTAATTGTTTTGAGAGTAAGCATGTCAAATCCCGTAGAATATTTTCACAACGAGACATGTAAAAGAGCATGTCTTTGATAAACATTTGTAGTTATGTCTTCTTCGTTGTTTAGTAATCATTTATCTTTTTAAAACAATATGTTTGTACTTTTTCCTTTTTATATGTAATCTCAAATATTTAGAAAATTCATGTACTTAACTATTGTAGAGAGGTACAAAAATTAGTGCAAAAGTAAAGTAAAATAAAAAATAATGTAAAGTAAAGAGACGACGAAATGTTACATTGAATTTTATTGTACTAGAATTCATATTTAATTTTTAATATATAGTTTAAGAAATATAGTGTATCATATTTTTAACACAGTCATGCTTCCTTTTCCGTTTTTTTATTTTTTTTATGATTTTAGCTTTTTATACATATGAAACATTTTGTTTATAACAAGTCAACTTCTAACAAAATGTGATTCAATCAATATGACAATATTTTTGTCTATATATTTTATTGTGATGTCTTTTATTATGGATGTCATGTCTTTATTTACTTTTCTTTCTTTTCCGTTTGAACTTGTAATTTTTTCATTGACTCCTTGCTGCCAGTCCGTGCTTGCTGTCATGCTGGCAAAAGTAGGGGTTTCGATCGGTTTTACCTACTATTGGTTACACCACCTAGACATTTTGTAATATTTTTCTTAATACGTATCTTTTTACAGTCAATTTCTTTTTTAATTATTAAAACTTACATTTAGTAATTAAACTATATTAATTCCTCTAATATAATAAAAGGTTTATTTTTCATGAAGCATAAAAAATATCAAACCTCCAACATCTAACACAAGATTTTCATGCTATATTTTGTGAAGAGTTATATTCCTATGTCAAACTTACATACAAAAGTCCTTATCTTTGAACTCAGCGATGAATTTATGTACGCTCTACTATGATATACTTTTCTAATGACAATTTGGGGACAAACGTGCAATGCACATTCCAAGGACTAGTAGCCATTAAAATACATCAATATACTTTAATATTTGTACACAATTTTACATAACACATTTCACAAAGATATATATTCAACAATCACTTTTCATCTTTCAAGATTGTTGAATTTTTATCACTTTATGGGTTATAAATTACCCCAAAAATAAAAGGAAAATACAGATCTACAACAACAATACAATTTCGTTTATAATCCCGGGAGGAAGAAAATGTGAAAAAAAGAAAAAGAGAAACAAAAAATTGGAAAGGGCTGGAAAGGGGAGAAGGAAGAGAAAATGGGGGTTTGAGAGTAGAAAGAAAAAAAAAGAAATGCGGAGGGGTGGGGTGGGAAAAGAAGAAAGAACTGAATTTTTTGTTCTTCTTATTTTTTATCTTTTTATTCTATTTTTAAAAAGAAATAAATTATTTTTAGTCTAAAATTTGATCTTTCACGCTCCTTCCACACGTGACAACACACATTTATGTTAACTCAATAACTAAGTTGCCACATAAGCTTGGTCAACTGTCAAAAGGACTTAAAACATAGAGTTTCATTGAGCTTAAGGGTTCAGCTAACAACTAGTCAAGTAAAAGGGTCTAAAATAAAAACGCATACAAGTAAAGGGTCCATCAGACCATTTCGCCAAATATATCTTTGATCTTCATCAAAGTGAAGGACTCGTGTCACTATCTTTTCAATGATTTCTTATGGAAAAGATGAAGAATAATTATTTTTTTTAAAAAGAAGAGAAAAAACTATACTAATAGAATAAAAGAATAAAAAATGAATATTCAACCTCTCCATGGATGATTGTTATTTATAGACTAGGTAAATTATCCGTGGTTCGCATGGGATTGGATACTATTTTATTAAGTTTACATATGATCATTCGTTAATATTCAGATTTTCGATACATACACTACATTGTCAAGAACATTTTATCTTAAGGCAAAGCGTTCCTTTGAAATTTTAAAGTGCTATATTTTTTTAATTTTCGTTTTTGTTATACAAAAATTATGAGTTATAGAGAGATTTTAAGTATAAG